GTGGAAGTGAAAATTTAGCTTCCAGTTGTTTTCTTTAGTGGAGAAGACATAATTGTTCCAAAAAACATAAAATGTAAGTGTTTTCCTATTAATCCCTAAAGAGAACAATATTTCATCCATGTGGGTCTTACAACAGTAAAAAATCAAGTGTAGGCTTTAAGCATCTTGTAGACTCAACAGATTTTAAAGCTGTTAAGTGTATGAACAAGAAGAAAATGGAGACAGAAGGCAAAAAGCGCTGAAGGGAAAATCCTACTGAAAGCTCACAAAGCATTTTCAAGCTTACAGAAATGACCTGCTCTGTTCCTGTTACACAGAAGTGTTAAAATGAGAGCAGGCGACCCCTTTCCCCCAAATCATTCATCTGTTATGTCTGCGATGTATTTAGACTGAATCCTTTCCCAGATGCTGTGGATCTGCCGGTTCCAGGGGAAATTAATGGGATTTTACCATTTGCTTTGAGGAAAAGAGGACTGGACTTTCTCCTGCTGTCTTTGGCAGGAAGGAGCAAGGAGCTTTCCTGTCTGCTCTCTTTAAATATTGCGTCTTTTTAAGCTTTTTTTTGCCAGATAGCCTAATTTGTGTTCCTGCAATATACCATGTTGGAAAATTACAGAGGTTAATGTGCAGCACTATGATACACAACCATAATGGTAGACTCTAATGTTTTTTAAATGGTAAACCAAAGGCATTTGTAATATGAGTTGTAGTGAATTGCCTGCACTTCTTGCCAGAGATTAGTTTAGCATTGCTTTTAATATTTTATGCACTGAAGTTGTTTGCAAAGACTAAAAGCTTCACTCACTTTGCACACTTGTGCTTTGTTCTGTCCCTCTTGCTGATTAATTGTATGTCTAGAAGTTCTATCAAATTACAGTTATACTGCATTGGAAAGATTTTTCTAGTAATCAGTGGAGATTACATCAGATTTATGGTGTCATAACTGAGCCAGGTAGTTAGAAATCTAACCTTTCGTAATACCACACGTTGCATATTAATGTTTTAAATATCTAAACCACACATGAATGACGTAGGACATTTTTACTTTAAATGTTACTGTAGAGATTTGGCGGTACATAATCCCATTAAAACAGAAGAGTGCAAGATGAAACGATGCATTTGCAATTATAATTATGCATATTGAGATTGACCATTCTTTAAAAAAATTGGAAGTGCAAGGTTGAGAAGGGTGCTTGAGCAATCACTCTTGGTTGAGAGCATTGATGGAAGAATAAAAAATTTGAGGGGGATTGATTTGTCAGTAATCTGCATGAAAAAGTATCGGAAGCATTTCTTTGGAATGTGAAGGGGAGGTAACCCTTTCACTGTCATGGTTAGCTTTGCTTGGAGAGCCACCTCAAAAAGACATGATCAAAACCAGAACAGCAAGTAACGCTGAACTACTTCACCTGCTCTTGATAAATAAAGAGCGTTAGCTGATCAGTGTAGTATTTGAGAGTCAGCATGGCCTTATGAGTACTCCAGAGGAGGTGAGTTTTGTTCTAGCTCTGTCAGAGGCCTGCTTTTTGACCTTGAGCAAAAAATTTTTGTCTCCTTGCCTTTCTTTCTGCTATTTCTTGATTGCCTTGTCTTTGTGGAGGATGAGCTCTTCAGGAGAGAGATTTCTTTGCGCTGTGTTCTGTGAACAATGAAGCCTGAGCCTCGCCAAAGCCTCTAGGGGCATCTCTAAAAGAAATTATAATTGTTAGCTTTAATCACTTTCATCAAAAGAGCTTGGTAATGGAGGGTGTGGAGGATTTGGAGAAATCTGTAGGGTGCCTGTTAATTAAGTCACCGTGGGTGAAAGCTGCTGATTGGGTTTCCTTGGGCTGATGCAGAGATGCTGATGTCCGGGAGCAAGGCAGTGCTGCTCCATGTGGATTTTCATCCCCAAAAGCATGATGCTGACTCTGGGTGCTCACTCCTCTGGTTCTGTACAGCCAGAAGCGAGGTGCTTGGTACATTTTAGCAAACAAGGCTTTTTCAGAAGCCTCCTACTGGTTGCCTAAAACTTCATCTTTTTTTTGTGGGTCCCTCTGTTGTGAGCACTTAAAACAGAAATTGGGCTGCTTGGCTTTTTGCAGTGGAGGTAGATCCTTGAGAGGGAGTCATCTCTTCTTGATGGATTCTCCTCCTGGCCTTTGCTGTTGGCAAAATAAGGTGTTTATCATTGCTCTCCTTATTAGCAGCTTCTGGTTTGGGATGGAGGTGCAACAGCATGCCAGTTTGCAGATTAATTACCCTTCTTGTGGCACCTTGTGATGCTGAAGAGCAATGTGCCCTTGTCCTCTGCATTATTCACCATAGCAGAGAATTTAGAAATATTTAGCCAAAATAACACCACCATCAAGTTAGTAAAAGTGGGTTATGTTAAGTATCTCCATTATTCATTTAGCAGTAAACTTGGCAGGTGGAGCTCCAGAGTAATATGGGATAAAGCAAGGGAGGGAGGTGATTTCCCCTCTCCTCAGCAGCCTGAGAGAGACCACTTCCCAAATTGTCCAGGCAGAGTATGACCAGGGGAGAACTGGGGAAGAAGCAGCAAATGCTTTCTGAGCAGCACTGTAGGTTTGAGGGCAAGCTGGTTACTCAGGTGATCTGGAGACCAGTAAAGGGGATCAAAACAAGGTTCCCTTGCATAAAGGGCAGGAGCTGCACTGCTCTGAGTATTAGTAGGAGTCAGAGGTAGAGCAATGCCTCTTTCTTCAGTGTGTTTATTCTCTGTTTTAGGGCTAATGCCAGATCCCTGTAGTTCCTGCAGTGCACCACTGCCAGTGAGCGTTGACTCTCTTACAAGTATTTTGCAAGATCTTTGCTCTTGCAGGAATCCCTGTATGGTTCCCTTCCAATTTTAATATGAACAAGAATTCCCCAGTCTGCATTTGAGATCTGCATAGAAATATGCATGTGGCAGAGGCCAACTCAAGGTTACACATTTGGCATTTGGGAAGGGAAGGCAAGAAAAATTTACCAGTCAGTACACTCACATTATGATAAAATAAAGGTGAGCTGGGAGAAGAGCATGTGCTGAATCCTGAAATGGTACAGAAGACCCATAAACCACAGTATGTTGTGCTATTTCTAGTCCTTTATGCTTCAAGCAGAAGTGAAATGTGGGGCATCATAAATGAAACTAAGATCTTGTTTTAATTTTATTTTAAAAGCCATTGCAAGGCAATGGGGTAACAAACATTAACTTCTTAAAACCAGGCAAATTCGTCTGCTCTGTACTGCTGCCATCAAATGGGAATTATTCTCCAAAAGCCTCTTGGAACCAGGTAAAGGTTTTGCTATAAAGCACAAGTAGAGTAGTCTAAACAAATTGCATTTTTCCTGGAAATAAAGTATATGGATGTCCTTATGAGGTGTTGCCTGGTCTGCTCTGTACTACTGAAACTGCATATATTTGGTCAAAATCCAAGGCTAAAAATGGGTATAATCTGTACATCTAGAGACTTTTCCATTTGTGCAGTGAGGAATACTAACTGGCCTTACCCCGAGTTTGCCTGTAAATTTCCTAGGTGATCCAAAGCCTGTTTATTGCTTACAGAGGCAATTTTGCTGACAGTCAAGCTGGAATAGGTCTCTTTTTCTTCCAGAGCATCCATACTTGCCTATTATAGAGAAATCACTCAAAAAGCAGCATGCATGCTGGACTCTCAAGCCTTGTTTTAAGTTTTAATTTACTTGTCTGACTTCCAAGGTTGCTGAATGCAAGCAATTGCTCCTTCAGTACATAAATAAGATGAATTATGCGTTAGGGACCAATGCCTCGGCCTCATTCTTGTCGTGCTCTCAGGGGAGGATCTGCTGAGGAGTGCTTAGAGCTGGGTGCAACTTTCTTTTTCTGTCATTGAAAATTAAAGCAAGACCATTCTGGATTGGCTCAGATGTAAAACTGAAGCCTCAGGATCATTTGCTTTGGTCTGAAATTTCTGAAGGTGTAGGGTGGTCCAGGGTGTGGATCCATGGCAGCAGAGTGAAAGCTGTAATAGAGCCCTGGCTGGGAAAGGCTTGGGGACTCACTGCTGTAGCTGGAACAATTGGCCCCAATTTAACACTGGGTCCTTTTTTCATCAGCCTTTAAAGTTGTTTTCATTTCAATACACTTCTTTCAAATAACAGGACCTGTGTCCTCCTCTACAGGTTGCAGGAAATGAGCTGGGTTTGTAGATGATGTTGGAAGCAAAATTCAGGCAGGACTCACTGCTGTTTCCCTTGCATGGGTTTTTAATTATATTTTCTAATTGTTTCGCTGGGTTGGTATGAGGTCCTGGGGTCCTGTGCCATCCAGCTTGACTCTGACAAGACTGATTCTCACTGAAGTTTCATTTGTGGCAATCGCAACTGTGAGGAGCAATTTTTCATGTGCAATTAATCCTAATAAAATCAGCACTTCCAGGAGGCTGACCTGGATCCGTCCATTTCATTGTTTTGTCAATTAATGTTATATTTAGCATCTAACACTGTAATTAGAAGAAAATACTGAAGATGTAAAGGGACAGAGAAATTTTAAGTTTTAGCTCCCAAGGAAAAGGAATTACTATCCTTGCAATCATAATTTATTTGAACTTCTTTTCAAACTAGATGTTTTTTATTCTGGTGCAGTGACCTCTAAAAACCTCTGAGAAATTATCTGGTTTAACAATAGTTTCTCCAGATCACATTGGAGCCTGTTGTGGGAAGAGATACTCACATACCTGCCTGTGTGTTGGATATCTACTTGCTTCTCTAAGGTTTTTTTAAATTATTGGCAGTGATATTGTCCACCAATTTTTCCTCTGGCCATTATTTTGTATGTGTTACCACTGTTTTACCATGCAGAGATCTACTTCATAGACATTAAAAAGTCTTACTTTTCAAAAATCAGTTCTATTGACCAAAATCAGTTGTTCATTGCTCTATTCTCTGGTAAATGCATAGCAGAAAGTTCACGAGTGCCTGATATGTCCTCAGAGGCTAGTATAAACATTTTTTAATTTTTTTCTCTTTGTTTCCAGAAATGTTGAATACAGTACTCTGCAAAAAATAACGTGTGGATTTCTCGAACCTGAAGAACAAGAAAAGGTAATTACTAGACCATACTGTTGAGCCTCATTTGTTTGCTGTGCTAAAATATTTAGACCTGATCACGTTGCATGAGCCTCCAGCACCGTGTCTGCATATGGGTTTTGTGTATTTTCAGTTATGCAGGTGCAGTTGTTTCATGAGAATATTCCTTTACGTAAAGGGAACAGGGGAACAAAAGCAGCAGAGCATGAAAATGCTGAAGCAAATGGTAGGGAAGAGCATACTGTGAATATTTTCAGTACATACAGAAGTGGAAAGGGTAAAGGGAGGGGAAAGAGATATCAAGGCTTATATGTGCCAATGGGAAAAGGGCTGCAGACTTGGCTGTGTTTGCAGGGCGGCCTGGTGGAGCCTTGCAGCCTGCTGGGCGAGTGTCAGAGGAGGCTCAGTGAGGATCAGTGTTACAGCAGCCTCCTCGTGTTTCAGTGCCCGAGAGTGGCTTGTGGGGTGCTGCACCCTGCTCCAGAGGTTGAGAGCTCCTCTGCTGCCTGCCAGCCTGCCTCTTGCAATCCAGTTTCTCCATCCTCCTGGGTCGCGACATTTTGTTGGTGCAGCGCAGCTCGGCAGGGCTGTGGCTCGGTTGCTGGTGTTAAACAAAATGCTGTTCATCAAACTTTCATGAGACACTTTGCCAGGGGCTGCATCTTGAAAGAGTAGGCTCCAGAAAGCAGTGAGCAGAGCTGTGCTGCTCCGTACTGCTGCCATCTCCTGTATTTTCTTCTACCTTCTTTCCAAGGCCGAGAGGTGGGCACCCCTACAGGGCCCTGAGTGGTTCTGCACTGTTTCCTCCTTGGAGGAAAGCTTGGGCAAGGCAGGCATGGCCATGTTGAAGAGTGGTGCTCCTGGTTCAGCTGGTACATTCCTTCAGCTGTGTGGTCATCCAGAAGAGGGACCAGGAACTCACCTCTGCCTTAAAGTCTGTGTTGGGCATGATTCTTACTGGGGTTGAGCTGAGGAATCTACATGAGCTGAGCCTTTCAGTAAGTTTTTGTTGTAATTATTATAATGACTTTAAAGTAAAAACTGTATCAGTAGATAGAAGTACGAAGAACAAAATAAATATGTAATGTGAAGGCCTGTAAATCTGCGTATAGCAAAGCAAGCCCAGTGAGACTTAAAAACATGGATATGAAGAGAGGGAAACAGCAGATGTTGCTGGGGTCAGGAAACTTTCAGTATGAACGAGTGACGTGTTTTTACAAGACACTTAATTTCATTGCTTGGATTTGAAAAATGCATGTGAGTGACATCTTGTGTTCACTACATCTGCAGTGCCATACTGCTGATAATTAGCACGTGCATTTTAGAGGCAGTATGAAGCCAAGATGAGAAACACAGGCAAATCACAGGGTGGAACAATTCTGCTTTCTCCATGTATCAGCATTACCATTTTCTGAAAGTCTATCTTTCCACCCTACAAATAGAAGTGTAGTCTCAGGAAGCATGTTGGAAAACACTTCAATGGCCTAAATTTGCAACTTGCATGGAACCATTTGTGTTTTTCTTGTGGTGCTCTCTGCATGCATCAAGTTAGTGCAAAATTATGACAGCAGAGGAAGAAGAGCAGACAGAAGAGGAAGCTGTTGTACCAAATAAATGCTTGGTCAAAGTGCATTAAACTTTTGGAGAACCACATTGTCCTGTATTTGGGGTCAAATTGTTTAGAAATACCTTCCACCTGCAAACAAATGGAATTCATTTTGTTGGATACTTCCATTTGGATTTTTAGTGTCGTTTAAACTTTTGTAATGCTTTCTGTCACCATCACCAGCTCTTTCTCTCCTGTGGGACTGTCCTGTTTGGGTGTTTGACATTTATAGGAGATGTAGGATAACTGTATTGGGAGTCAAGCAGTTCAATGCTCCAAGTATAAGTCTATTTATCCATGTCAAAAAGAAAGGTTGAAAAATCAGATTTCTTTAAAATACTGAGTTTTCCGGGGCAATAATGGAAAAGTGGTGCAGATTACAGTATGCCACAATGTGTTGGCAAAGAGGAAGACTCCACCATACTGTTGAATACCTCACTGGTATTTCACTACTCTTTTATAAGAGGGTGAAATATTAGTCTAAGTTATCCATGCAATTTAATATTATCTCTACAAATTCAGTCATTTATGTTTATTTATGCTTTTTGGACAGTTGTAAAGAGATTTTTGAAAAAAGCAGTATTTCTTTTTTGCAAATAAGAGATTAAAAACATGCCAACATTCATCATGGCTGCGTGCTTTCCAAGGCCTTGAAACACAGCTACAACACTATTGCAATGTGGCTCAAACATGGGAATTATTCCCACTGGGTTTCTAGAAAGCTATAGGTGTTGTTTTGAAGTTTCACATAGGCAATATTGTAAGTAGGTAAGGGTATATATGCAGCAAAAAAATGGCCACTCACATTGTTGTATTTGTTCTCCTCTTTTGTGAGGACAGGTAGTCACACACAAATTTTTTTTTCATCCCGTGAACGGTATCCCACAGAGTCATTTAGCTCTGTCAGCTGTGTGAGCAGAACAGCCATGAGCTCTTCTATTCCTCCAGACTGCAATAGTGTCTCTTTATTTGGTGGTTCACAGCACTTGGTTGTTATGGCTGGGCTAGGGATGTATCAGATGTATTTCATTGCAGAAGACGCAGGAGCTGCTCTGGGCATGAGTCAGCCCCTAGGAAAGGCTTTGCCCCATCATACAGAGGCAGTGACTTTGATGGGGATGTTCTTCCCCATGCAGTGGGGGCTTTTTTCAGATGGAGTGGATTTAATGCTGCTGTTAGCATCAGTGAGCGGGGTCCAAAGCTGCAGAAATTGAGACTGTGCCTTTGCTTCCTGCATGGCCAGACCAAGGAAGAAATCCCAAGGCTCAAGGGCATGAGAAGCGCTCTCTTCTTTTGTTCTCTGTGTCTTTTTTTTTTTTTTTAACTGGCTGGCCATGACATTAAGATTTCTAATTAATTTAGAAACCACAGGCAGTTGAAGAGAGTGAGCAATGTAATAACTGGGCCATGGGGCAGAGTAAAAGCACATCAATTATTCAGGCAGTTGCTGCTGCTTATTCCCTTCCCAAAGCTGGGCTGGCTGTCATCGTGTGTCAGTGATGCTGCTAATGCCCTTCAGAATTTACATGCATAAATAGTGGCCTTTTAAAATCTGCATGAGGATAACTGTAGTATTTTCAACAATAGCTTCCAGCAGCATGCTCTGTCTAGCGGGGCTCCAACCACTATTTTGGGTGCCTTGTTCAAAACTGGGATCTTGGCAGGTGCATCCTCCAGAAGCCTCTGCTGTGGAGAAGTTGCTCCTTAAAGAGATTGAGGGGCAGCCTGAGCAAAGAAGGAAACAGTCCTGCTTTAAAATGCAGGTGGTGTCTGAGAACATTCTCTGTGTTGGTGAGTCTAGCATCTCTTACACATCATCATCCCCTGCTTCTATTACTGTGATGTCTCTAGAGCATACTCTGTGAAGATGCCACTGGGGATGGACCCAGTGCAGTTCCTCTTCAGGTGAGGAGCAGGAAGCATCCTTCTCCTCCTCACTGCTCTGGCTATTGCAGGTCCTGCACTTTGAGCGAGCAGTTGGAAAGCTGAAATAGAGGAAGGTTCTCTCACTGCCCAAAGAACTACATTCACAGGACTGACTGTGATAGTCCTAAATGGGTGCACCTCAAAGTCTCCTGTTTGGGATGCCACAGGGAGCAACACTGATTCCTGCATTGGGCCAGTAAGGGGAGTGAAAACCAGGGGACCTGTTGGATTTTTCTGCCATGGGCTACAAGTGGATGACAAAGCCTTATTTTTCTGTCTGGTTGGCGTGGTTATCCCTGCTGCTGGAGGCAGCCACCTTGCTTTTTCAAAAGTGAACTAATTTGTGAAGGCAACGAAATAAAATGAGCCTTGCTAATTATGTGTTGTGCCGGCGAAATGACCAGCTTGGGTTTGGAGAACGCTGGCTGTAATTAATGGTGAAAGGCTTTTTCTCTCATCTGTGTAGCCGTTATGAATCACTTCTCCCCATGGAAACTTCTAAATCTGTCTCACTGGGGAGCCTGAGGAGGAACAGGTAAAATGGATTTGCCTTAATAGCTGCAGTTGTAACTTAAACACTTGCAATGGTATTAAGCATCTCTCTCCATTAGCATTTCATGTTGATTCTGATGATATACCAGCCGAAGCTAAGACAAGATCAACGTTCATTAGATGGAAGAAACTAAGCTCTGTAGACAAATGCTTTGGCTAAATGGGGCCTTCATTGCACTGAGAACAAGAAAGCAATTAGCTGAAATGTTTGTTTACAAAATCTAATTCCTGGGGAGTATCTTCTCAGATTGCTGCTTACATCTCTTGGGCTGGTTTTGTTACCAAGGCTTGCAGGTTGATGGATTTTGCAAAGCTTGGTTGTAGTACGTCTGTAACAGATGCTTCAAACTTTGCATGGTAAAGCTGGAATCAAGTGAAGAGCAAGGGCTAAGCTGCAGGTGTGCCAGAGTTTGTTTGTGCATTCCTCACATTTATTTTACAGTTTGCTGTTAAGTGCAATTAATAGTAATTATTAGATGTTCCAGATATTAAACAGTGTAGGCTGAAGAGAAGCTGGAAAGCAGCTCTGAGTGCTGTTACTGCTGTCCTCCTGTCCCCCACCTGGAGCCTAGCCCAGGGGAATCCCCGATGGGTTCCAGCTGGGTGAGGATGCATCTCTGCCAGGATAACTGCATGAAGAGCCTTGTCCTGGTTGGTTGACAAACATGAACACCCTCAGAAGGTGATTTTGCCCATCTGCAATGCAAATCGTGCTCTGGAAATGCAGCTTCTCTTTGGGTTACAGAAATGGCCAATGGCAAAGATAACTGATGCCACACAGCTATTAGAGCAGATTTCATCACTGTGTAGCATTTGTGGAGTGGGAGGGATCAGGCATTTTGAGCCTGTGCTGATATCACCAAAACAGCTTCATACTAATTGGAAATGTGCAGTAGAACTTTGCACTATGTGCTTGGATATGGTGTGGCAG